AATTTATTAGCTACTGATTAACGTTTAGTGATACTCAAACAACTTTGAGATTATATTTATGCAGTTTGTCTATGATTGTGTCATTTTCTGTCTGCAAAAGGAGCTGAAAAAATGGAGTAACTCAGGAGGTGTCTATAAGTGGCTGCTCGACTCGATAGATAAACGCATTTTGTTGCATAAAAAGAATTGAACTTCAAGAAAGCAATTGTGGAGTAGAGTGAAGATTCCCATTCTTAGTTAGATTTATCGTCCCCAAATTTACCAATTATCTGTAAGCTCTATGCCCAAACCTTCACTTGTCAATCTGCCAAAAAACAAAATGCTGAAAACTGAAGAAATGTTTACTCTTTTTTCTGAAATTCGAATTTCATTATGGTTTGAAACAAATTTTATTTAGGCCATTCTTTTCATTTTCTTTTTAGTTATCACAATGGATATTGGTGTAATATCCATTGTAGCTTGATCTTGATCTGTGCTATAGGAGTTTTGACTGAATAAGTATTCTTAAATCTAGTTATGGAAATTGATTAGGGGTTTCGTTTGCTGTGCTTTTCTGTTTTCAGAAGTAGTTGGGCAGATGTTGTGAATTTGTTCTGATATTATATTAGACGATCAAACTCCCACTCAGCATGTCGTTTTCCCGGTTTTCTAGAGGAACCCATTTCTTTTCTTGCAGCAAAGCCCTTCTTCATCAAGCCCCCCTTTTATCCAGGTAACTGACACATCACAAGTTTCGATTGGTGTTAAACTCAAGTATTTGTTTAGTTATTACTTAGAACGTTGTGCATGTTTTCCAATAAAGGCACCCGCTTAATGCTGTGGGTTCAAACTCAAAGTACAATTCTTTCGGCAATATACGCGTCCGCACATTTGGATTTGACTCCCGGGGTTTCATGTCCAATAGAGGATATAAATTGAGGAATTGTAATCTGCAAGAAATATATTCCATCAATTTTGGCCGGCAATATTCTACTCATGCTGCCACAGAAGTGAAATCCAAGAAGATGCTCTTATACTTGACTGGATTAGTATTTGCTATGGTGGGGTGTAGCTATGCTGCAGTCCCTTTATACAGGAGATTTTGTCAAGCTACTGGCTATGGGGGTACTGTACAACGTCGGGAGGTAAAATAGTTCTGTGAATTTACATATTTGGTTATAAGTTTTCTTTATTTAATATGTTGCATTGAGGCAGAGATGATGCCTGTTCGGTCTTTTGTAGAGTGTTGAAGATAAGATTGCTCGTCACACAAAGGACGGAACTGTCACATCCAGGTGGAATATTTGTTGCTTAAAGATACTCTGATCTGTCTTATTCATTATTTAATCACGGCGTGATTGAATTTAATCTGCTTTGAGTGAAAAGCCAAATTATATTTGTATCTCAATTTCTCTGTGAGAGTTTTGATGATTACAAGAGTCATCCACAAAGTTTGATTTTGTGTTTCATGGTTACTTTCTGATTTTTGAACTGTTTATGGAGTTTCCGCTTGGTATGGACCAAGACAAGAGTTTGTTGAGACGGACTATTATAATAAGAGGAGAGCCAAAAAAGGAGAAGAGTATATTTTCCCAATTCTTAAAGCCTCAGCAGTTGCGGCATATGATGAACCACTACAATTTTATACTTGGAACTTACTTTTGTTACTATTTTATATCTTGAATTTGAATCTTTCCCTTTTCCACAGCTATCCACTTAACCACTTCTTGAATTTATTCCCTCCCATTGTTCTTTGATCTTCGGAATGATATATTCTTGTTTCATCTTCATAGTTATGTTGCATTATCTTTATTTCTTATGTTCACAGGGAGATTGTTGTGCAGTTCAATGCTGATGTAGCCGATGGTATGCCCTGGAAGTTTATTCCGACACAGAGAGAGGTGCTTAAGTAATTTCCAAAATTTTCATGTCACCTAGAGATTTTTTATGGGAAAATTATAAATAGTATCCAGTATCCACAGATTTAGATGATCACAATTCACAACTACCCTAACCCACCTCATGAAAAATAACTAACTAAAATAAAAAATGCTCAATTATATTTTGAAATTAAGAATATATCTCGTTACATGTTAGTATTCTACATATTACACCAGCTAAATTGGGTATTTGGTATATTTGTAGCTTTAAAAGATGAATGGGTTCTGTTGTGATTAATCTTGTTAATTGTTAATTTGCACTTGAGGTCAGGTGTATAGAAATTTTGCCTACATCTCATACGTTTAGCCTTTTAACATGATTCTGTCCTATCAAACTTACAGGTAAGGGTTAAGCCAGGGGAGAGTGCCCTTGCATTTTACACTGCTGAAAATAAAAGTGCAACTCCAATAACTGGTGTATCTACGTATAATGTAACTCCTATGAAGGTACAAATATTGATGGCCTAAGATCCTCTATTTTTTTTTTTTTTTTTAAATTTGGTAAAAGTTTGTACGCACTCAGTGAACTTCGTTTCATCTGTTGTATTTGTCTGATCCTTTTAGGCCGCTGTTTATTTTAACAAGATACAGTGTTTTTGCTTTGAGGAGCAAAGGCTTCTCCCTGGGGAACAGATTGATATGCCGGTTAGTAGGATCATTTTATGTTATTCCTTCTACAATGGTTTAGTTTATTGCAACCTTGTTAATGTGTTATTATTATTATGAATTGTGTAGGTATTCTTTTACATCGACCCAGAATTCGAAACGGATCCAAAGATGGACGGTATCAACAACTTGATTTTGTCATACACATTTTTTAAGGTTTCTGAAGAGAATTAATGTCAGCTTCTTGTCTTTGAACTCAGATCAGTTGCCATCACCAATTGTTGTTTGTTTCTCTTGGGAAAGAAAGAGCCAATAGACAATATTTTGAAAGTAGACTTTTCTGTAGATTTTAGTTTTTTAGTAGATGGCGGTTGGCAAAAATTAAGAATAAGAAAGAAAAACAGCTATTGCTTTTTCTTATGAGCTAGATGTTTTTTCAGTCTCAGTTGGCCATGTAACGTTTTTTAACTAATAATCTTGACCGATTTTGATTAAGAAAACAAATAGGAAAACAAATAATCTTGATCGATTTTGATTAAGCTACAAAATAATAACCATGTAAAATTAATATAATAGGTATAAATATTTCATATTTTTGAAAAAATGTTTTTATATACAATTATACATGCATTATTTTACATAATATTGAGGTGGAAGCATCTACTTTATTTTGTTTTGTTGTCAATTTGGAAATATATCAACCAGATAGTTTGATAGTTTCCTAGTGTTCATGTCTATATTGTTGTCAATTTGGAAATATATCAACCAGATAGTTTGATAGTTTACTAGTGTTCATGTCTGTAAACTTCACATTACAAATAAGTCACTTCATGCTTTTCAATTTGGAAATATATCAACCAGATAGTTTGATAGTTTCCTAGTGTTCATGTCTGTAAACTTCACATTACAAATAAATAAGTCACTTCATGCACTTCACATTACAAATAAATAAGTCACTTCATGCTTTTCATAGATCTATGTTCAAAACCTCAGGACTTCACATTACAAATAAGTCACCGTCAATTCTTATTGTTTGAGTAGAATTATAAAATTTTGAGTAGAATTATAAAATACTAAACTTTAAGTTTTCTATTTTGAGTAGAATTATAAAATTTTGAGTAGAACTATAAAATACTAAACTTTAAGTTAAAATACTAAACTTTAAGTTTTCTATATTTCACTATAAGTTAAAGTATAATTTGAGAGTATCATAAGTTCATATTTATTAACAGATAACTTACCCACAACAATATATTGTCCACAGGATAATTCACTATTGGATCGTTTCCGCAATCATTCCAGAAAATATTAACCTAGGTAAAGAATATTGAAGAACCTTTTACATCTCCAATGTTTAACATATTGTTGTTACAAATTACATTTTCGTCAACACATTTAGTAAAGTCCTTATTTTTCATCCTCCAATATGCAAAGTGGTCACAATGTTGTTGATAATGTAGACATAATTAATGTCTATAATGTAGAAAATAATATAGTTCATTCACATTCTTCTCTACACTCTTGCCAACCAATATAGAGAATAGAGAATTATTCTTATCAATTCCAAGCTATCTAATTTTATTATTATTTTTATTTCTTATTTATAAAATTTTTAATATTTGGTAAGTAGATAATATTTAAGTTAGACTACATTGTGAACTTAACATATTTTTTTAGTTAATGTCTATTATATTATACATTAGTGAAGTGTAATAATAATTTAAACTAATTTATTGTGTAATAATTACTACTAATACTAGCTAATTATAAATTTACATTAAATTGTATGTGAAAGTTACATACTTATAAAATATTGTATTGTAATTTTTTTTATTAAGATACTTATTCTATAATAAATATTATTTTTGGTCTTACTAAGTGATTTTTCTCTAATATTAATTAATTGACATGAGTGTTATAATTAAACTCCTTAAAATTACATAAGTGATTATTATAACAACACTAAAAATAGTTGTAGTGCTTTTCTAATTAATTAATCCTATGGTCCCTCTAAATTACAAAATTACTTTGTCCATTATAATTTATGTCATCAATATAAAGATTCACATGCAAGTTAAATAATTTATATTTATATTGTACATTTGTATATAGTCAAAAATTTTAAAATGTAGTACATTCAGTATCTAATTTAAAATTTTAAATATTATATATATACATATAATATATAAATTTTTATTTGTCTTTGTGTATGTGCACAGGAACGAATACTAGTATTGTAGTAAGACAACAATGTCATACGAACCAAAAAAAAAAAATTATAGTTGTAAACTTAACATTTTTCTTACATGATTGACAATCCAGTTAATTTATTGACATTTGTCATTATTCTTTAACAACATTAGAGCAAGATGCTCTTAAACCACCAGTGAATAATATATCATCACAGAGAACAACCCAAAAATTGCACTTGATCAAAATAGAAAACGTGCCTCTTTATGCATATCCTTTAATGAAAAATGTTAGAAGACTTGGTAAAGTACAGAAATAGCAAAACTTCACCTATTTGTTTGATATATAAGTTTTGTAGGTCCTACACAAAAAATAACTACTTGGGTTCTCAACAAATGAGTCCACAAGAAACTTCAGTAGAAATTTTACTCTCAGACCAATACCATATCTAATCCTCATAGACCCCAGTTTTCTTAAGATGATTACAGATAATCTGAGTCCTCATTCACACTTTATCGAACGGTATATATGGCGAACAAAGAACAAAGCAGCACGAAAACCTACAGCTCCAAGCATTAGGAAGAAAGCATAGCATACACAAGCCATGTACCCAAAGAAAAATGAGGTCTGCATGAAGCCTGACATATCAGATCGCGCGTAATAGTAGTAGAGGCAGTAGCCATAAATAAACAATCCAGTTGATCCGCCACACAGGAAAGACCTGATAAATTGTGAAAAAAAGAAAAAAAGAGGTTAAGTAATGCAATCACCGAACTACGCAAGATAATAGGATTAGAGAGTGAAATGCAGAACAAGTTCTATTACAAATCACCAAATCTCTCTAGTTATTTTTTGCGACACAATAAAATAATTTAAGCGTCATATATAAGTTCCCTTAAGAGTGAGCAATGAGAACAAGAATCACAAAGAAAATCTAAACTGACTACATGACGCAACATGCAAGCACGACAAACCACATATATATAGCATGCATGAAGCGTTTGATTGCATATAAAACTTTCAAGTTAAATTAAAAAAGACACATACCTCCACCACCATTCATGATCTTCGGCAGCAAGCTGGAAATACGTCAATGCCACAGTGATAAATGCGGTGACAATCAAGAGAATAATGAAGACTATGAATAAGATACTGTAAATGGTGTAAATCCTGTGACCCCAGACACTGGCAAATATATAGTAAAGCTCAATGTAGATGGCACTGAAAGGCAAAAATCCGGCCATGGCCATCTGAGGCAGGGCCCCACGGTACCAAGGCAGTGGGGGAATCTCTCTTGGATATTTCGTGGTACGACAAGGAGCTTGAAACTCAGCCTTACTGTTTTTCCCTGCTATTCCTCCCAATACTAGTAAGGGTGATGTCACGAGAGCCCATATAAGAAAAATCACTACAATTGTACCAAAGGGAAGAGCTGCAGTAGCATGGTACGCAATGGCAACAGTGTTGAGGAAGCAAAATGTGAGAAAAAGTGGTCCACAGAAGAGACCTCCAGTCAATAGTAAATTTCGGACCTGTTAAAACAGAAAGGATAAAATGTAAGAAACAGGTTATGGTGGCACACTGTACGCGTACATACAGGGATTAAAATAGAAGCATAATGCGGGTGGCAAAAAATATCATAGACATATTAGCAATATATCATAGCAGTTTGGTTTCACAGCCAACTGACTGATGAACTAACTGAAAATATCAAAGTATCCAACAAAGCTTGGAGCATAAGATATGCATTTCACAACTTGATAAGCTATGACGACTCAGTCACTATTGACACTCAAACTAATCTGAAAACCTCTATATCACTCTTATCCTTCTCTTAGGAATTGCCAAGTGGTTCAAGCAGGCTCTGGAGAAGGATATAAGACGAATATAAAGAAAAGGCTTGTTTCTTAAAATGACAAGCGGAGTTCGGAGCGCATGAAACAAAAAAATGTAAACATGGAAATTGAAATTCATTGAAATACTACATAAGCATGGAACTACATGTAAATTTCAAATGAAACTGAACAAATGGTAACTAATCTAAATATATTACCCAATTTGTTCCCTCTAACTGGCAATAGAAACATGCAGCTGTATATCCAGCAATGCCAGATGTAAGTGCATATATGACCACCAGTGCAGTAAAGAGAGCTCCTCGGTTGTAGGGATAAAATACACCAACAAGAGCAAGTAAGAATATAAAAGTTGCCCTGGGAAAAGGAAAACTCATTTAAATTATTCTCGTCGAATGTAAAATTAATATTCCATAAATGCAAATACCACGGCGACAAAACTTGTTGACAAATACTCGAGTAGATCAATTAAACCTCCAAAAGCATACTTACAGGGTAAAGAGTTGTGTGCCACTTCCAAGGGCAGCAGCAAACAAAGACTTGTATTTTGGGAACCTGAAAACATCACCATGAATGTATTTCCACCCAGTTTCTTCCTGGTCATCTGCAGCTTCCTCATCATGGGCGTACCTTTGGCCAAAAAAAAAAGGATAAAATAATATAAAAAATTAATTATTTTGACTTTCTTGAATTTAGAAGATTGCAAGACGTCCTTACTTGACAAAATCATTTTTGAGTACTCTCATCAAAATTGTGGCAAGAAATCCAGTAAGAAGGAGAACTGTCACACATGAATTGATAATTGAGAACCAATGAATCTCCAGGTGACGAGGAAGCGAGGAAGAATGGGAGTACTTCTCCATCCTCTTCTCAAAAGGTATGCTAGTTTCCTTCCATTTGACTGAGTACATAAACTCCACATCAACTTCCTTATCATCAGTAAGGTCTACAAGGGCACTGGGGTCTGTACGTGCATTGATCTCAATCACGCGATCTTTGTTATAGAAGATTTCAAAGTGAAGGTGCTTAAATAGGTAATACTTGTACTGGCTAGGGTCTGTTTTGCCTTCTTTGTCAACCTTTCCCAGGAAACCCCAAATCGGCAAGTCATCATAATACATTTGAAAATAGTAGTCCTTTGACACGGCACTTCGGAACTCAGCAACTTCTTTCTTTGACAGCTGCTTCTTACAGATGACTTCGGACTCTTTGTCAACCAAAAAGTCCAGCTTGTACGGAGCACTGACCAAACGGTCTCCATTCAACACTTCACCTAGAGCTTCACTTTTATCCTTCACATTACCTTTCGGCAAGAAATGTCAAATGAGTAAAAGAATGGAGTTGGCGAGCAAAACAACAAAGTAGACAAGAAATACCTGGTGAACAGAATGGGAGGTCAAAGTAACGGTATGTTTCACTGTAATGAAAACAGGTATAAGAACATGAGCATCACGAGATAAGAAAATAAATAGTTCATAATGTTAAAATCCTGAAACAAATGTCATAATGTATAAGCATTTCCCACAAATGATTAATTTACATAAGCTTATACAATTACACAAACAAAGCAGTTGATAACCTTATAAAGCCCTGCTCAATAAATGGCATAGAGAGTTAGAGACAGGTTATATTACTGCTGCTTTTAAGGCAATCACGTGAGTGTATGTGCTTCAATATCAACCAGAGTACATACCATGTTGTCATTCTCTCATGTTGAATGACGATCTTCTTCTATTGTCAGATCTAACTATAAAAAGGTAATGCCAGTCCCCAGATTACAAGGCATTAGTAAAAGACAAACAAACATGATTCTCGTGGAGCATTTGACTTAATTGAAACTTTTCAAAAAGATAATAAAAATGTTACTTGATACCTCAAAGGCAATATTAAGATTTGTTGCCAAAAACGCCTAATGCAAAATAAATTTTTGAAGTCACGTTACCATTAAGCAAGATTGATTAATGCAATGCCATAATACTACATCATCGCCAAATCCTGATATAGCTAATACTCTTGAGAGGACCAAGAGTTAATCAATAAAGATTTTTGCCATATATGTTTCCTTTTAATGGAGATTTACTGGCAAATCTGGATAAGTATAGATGATCTTTTCCAAACAAACTTCTGAAGCATGAGGTAAAACGGAGCAAAACGTAGGAAATTATAACATCATCCCCTTCTCCCAAGCAAAGTTTCTGATTACAGAACTCTGGACAACACACCCCATATAGGATACACTCACATCATTCAAAATGAAAGATCACTTTGAATATTATAGAAATATTAAATTACATTTTCTTTATGGTCATTAGTCTCCGCCCATAAATTCATGATATTTGGACCAGTTCAACCTTCGGACCCATCTTACAATCTTCAGCAAAGAAATATATCAAATTCTTTCTAAACCAACTTCCAATCAGATTCTCCATTAAACTTCATAATTCTTTAAGATGGGGTTCCGACATTTATGTCAAACGCAGTATATATGATCAATAATCAATCACTTCATTTCTAAAATCAGTCTTCTTGATTTTCCTTAGTGAAACAGAGATGAAACATGCATCATGATTGGTGTTACTACCTACTATCCAAATCATTTTCTGCAGGAAAATGATAAAGTTACCAACTCCTAAGAGTATTAAAATTGATCAGTATCTTAAACCAGAGCCCATGTCTTTCAGCAATCACCACGACAAATGAATTAGATGTAGCAATTTGCATAATGTCTCTCCAACTGCATCTCATCTCAGCAGCTAAATATTGCTTTCAGAAAAGAGAAGAAACACTAAAACCTCTCACCCCTTTAATTCTCAAATCCTCACTTGACTTATTTAAAACTTCCATCACCAAATCCACAAGGTCCCCCATCGGCCATCAGTCCGAAAATCCACACACATCCCATTAGCATTAGCTAAATCCCGCCGTAATAAATCCTCAAAATTGGCCTAATTTACATTTAACATCCAACGATCAAATGCCTCCATACACAATCATAGACCAGAAGAAGACGAACAAGAAGAAGAGGAGGAGGAGGAGTAGGCAAATCCGCAAAGCAAAAGGAACAACCAACTAAACAATTCGCCTAATTTACATTTAACATCAAACGATCAAATGCCTCCACACACAAACACAAACAATATATAATCAT